GTGTGTGTGTGTGTGTATGTGTGTGTGTGTGTGTGTGGCCTGATCACAGTTATTTAATGCACATAAAAATGATGTGAAAAAAAAGAAGCAGCAATTCCTGACATTTTCACACGAGAAGCTGATATTTGATAGTTTGATATTTTTTAATGAAAAGTTATATCACTTATCTTTTTTAGAAAACTGTTGTGATATTAAGAGCCAACCAATAATCAGCAAAAGGAAGCTTCTATATGTTCTGTATGATTGTGTTTCTGCTAAGGTACAGAATGCATGACACATTAAATCAAAATAAACATCAAATGAAATGTCTCCTTATTGAATGTGGAGTAAAATAATTTAAAAAAAGATTTATGAGAGAGTAAAAGTCCACAAGAGACAAACAGAATTTCATTTGAAGTCTAAGACATAACAGGGGGGTGCAGGCCCGGCTTATCACAGAGGCAAATCTAGGCAGAGCAAAGCGAATGTGTGTGGTAAGTGTGAAGAAGCACCGCGAACAATGTGTCGAACAAAGGCATCTTAAGCCGAGAGAGGCCGCTGGAAATGTCAGAGTCGTTTCTCAAGCTGAACAGGTACAAAGAATGAGGCAGAGTTTTCTCTAGGACAAAAGATCAAGAAGTCAGCAGCAGAGTTGCATAATTGAAGTACTGAGGCAGAACTGAACTTCTGATCATAAAGGTCGAGGATAGGTGATGTGATTGAGGCAAAGATTGTGGTTCGGGTTCAAATTGGCAAGTTTGATCTTTTCCAAAACCCAAGGGTTAGGGTTAGGGTTAGGGTTAGCCTTGGTAACCCAAGTTTTTGTTGTTAAACTTCACCAAACTGTGACTGAGACTGAAACCAGGAGGGCTGTCTGTCAGAAACACTGGCAAACAGCAGGTCAGCTTGAACAGGAACTTCCGTGAGGCTGAAAGACTTTCGATAACAAAAAGAAACTTCCAGGTGTGGTTGTGGAACGTCAATGCTAAAAAAAACAACGATAACAAACAATTTGACAAAGAAAACTAAAAGCAGTCTTCCATGAAAAGGGGATTGTCATTTATCTGCACACAGTGTAGTATCTGGTGTTAACACTGATATGACCTCTCCAAGAAAGATAATTCAATCACTAACATTTTCACTCCTCCGTGTTGTTTGGCAGTTTTGTTAAGTTGAGAGAGCTGCTTTAAAGCCAGAGAGTCATTTGTTCCACTCACAGATGATATATAACGACAGAGGAGCCAGCTCGACCTCTACCCACTGTCCAGAAATGAGCCAAAATATCCCAGATATACAAACGCTGCCATTTTGTGCATATGGAGCCAGAAGCTGCTTAGTAGCGATTAGGGGTGGAGCTGCGTTGGCCAGAACTCACCGATATACACCCCTGATCAATTGCAACTCAGTCTCAGCTGTCAATCACGATGTTTCACCCCCAATTTTATAGCATAAAATAACGAAGTAAAACCAAACTTACTGGAAAACTTAACATTTAAACACGAAGCAATGTGATAAGAACTACCTTAAAATACGTTACCACCTTTGACAACATTTTATTTGGTGTTTTAGTTTGGTGCATGTCCAATCTGCTAACATGGAGGAGGTGGGAGATCACAGAAGGGTCAATATGAATCAAACGTTATTATTATTCCAAAGAACCTGCAATTACTGACACGCAAATAACTTCATGTATTTCCTCTTCCAAAGTACAAAACCTCCTTTTTCTAGTTTTGCATCTTGAAGAACTGAAACAGCCACAATTGAATTTCTCGAAAAACTCTTTAGATAATTATTAAACCGATTTCTGCAGCACATACCAGACAGCTCAATTTTGCTAAATGATAATGTTGTGTCCATATTCATACGATTCAGAGACACACTGTTTGTATCTCAGGAGCTAAGACCTGTGGTTGAATTGTTTGAATTAGGTAAAAAATAAATATCGTCCCCCTGTTCCTTTGTCAGATGAATTCTCCACATTCAGTTATGCACACGGTGAAACACGAACACACGATTAAGGAAAGATTGCCCCAATTTTTTGGTGAAAAGACACTTCCTATTTTTTTGTACAAAAAAATGTCTCGGCCTCACTTGAAATCAATGATCCTCTATTTCTCTGAGCTCGGCTGTGCAGAGTCCACAAAGACGACACATACATGGTCAAACATAGATAATAATAAAATAATAAATAATTATTGTAATAATAAATTAAAGAGATTCTCACATTTTACGTTAATCACAGTAAATTGGAATCTATACCGAGTTCTGTGATGATAACAATTAAGTTACACTTCTACCTACAATAGATACAAAGTTAAATTAAGTTAAATAAAAAAAAGAATACACAGAATATATCCAGTAGAAACCAGAGGAGGTCTTCAAGATGATTGGACTGTGGCTCCTCTTGTGATGAACGAGAGAGGATGCGTTTAAGTACAACACAGGAGGACATATTTGAGACTTAAGCCTGTAATTATTGAGGACATTTGATCTCTGTGTGTCTGTCTATCAGGGGCAGCCCACAGCACCATGCTCCTTCTGCCTGTTCCTCCTCAAGACTTTGGAGGACCTGCTGTCTAAAGGAAGGACGGATGTGAGTCACATTGCTGCAGTGAAGGGACACATGTGCGTGAGAACACAATGTTTCTTTGTGCGGCACGCAGACGTTTAAATGCCACCAGACGCCATGTGCGAACCACAAGGTTCCTGCTCATATTTTACATCCTGCTCATCTACACAGTGATGCTGTGGGAGATTTGTCATGTTTTTCCCCGACCATAAAAAAAAAAAATCTCCAAACCTGCTCTTTTGAGGATGGAATTCAAAATATGAGTTGGTGTCACCGTGGACAACCCAGCTCTTTCAACATCAAACTGCAAATATTTCTCTAAGTGCCTCACAACTGTGGACGTCTGATGGCAGGTTGCTGCTTTCAGACACAAATTTGGTTTAGAACCTTATTTTTTGATTTTGTTTTGTTCATACTGTGCATCAAGCAAAGAAAAACCAGGACTTGTGCTGACAACATGAACAAAAGGGTTTTCTGAACTTAAGCTGTAAGTAAATGTGACACAGATATAAAAGCTTGCCGGCATCCGAACTTCGTCACAATTATTTTTGTTCATGTCTATATTTTCCTTTAGGTATTTAATTAACTGACCTATATTCAATATGGCTTAACTGTGGTAATGCTCAACTATCTGGCCGACAGCTTGTTCAGACCTCTGCAGCCCGAGTGCAGCCCAGGACCACAGAAGGATTATTACACATTACACCAGTTCTAAAGACTTCACATTGATTGTCTGTCTACATTTGATTTAAAGATTCTGTTACTTGATTTTAAAGTACTGTGTGGTCGTGTTCACAAAGTGCAACACTAAAGTCTTTTAGTGTCAATGCTCCTAAGTGCTAGAAAAGTCGACCTGAGAGCAGCCAGAAGTGTTAAAATCTTTAAATGGTAGCTTCAAACTTTTCTCTTTAGCCTGGCCTTCAATTAAGTGTAGTTCGTACATATCATTTTATTGCATTGGTTTTATTTTTCATTACATTTTAACTGTCTGTAATATTAGTTTGCATTTTTAAAAGGTTTTTTTAAAATGAAGTTGATTTGCTGTACATCCTGCTCCTCGAACAGGTCAAGTTGCTGGAGGACATTTGTCACATTTTGCCTTCTTCCTACCACGACCAGTGTGAGGCCATCATAGACAAGTTTAGCAAGACGGTGCTGGACGCAATCACATTTGCGGGGCCATCTGCTCCCTCCTCCACTGGTGGGGGAGGCAGGGCGCTGCTGAGGCCGGTCAGTCAGTTTGGTGTCAGCACGACTGCAGCTAAGTTTTTTTTTTAATTATGGGTATTTTTTGTGAGAAAAGGAGACACAAGCCTGTAAATTGGAAAAATAAAACTGAAAAATACTCAAAACAAAAGCCCAAAGTAGGAAATTACTTTTGTCACAATCCAGAGGTGTCGTCCCTCAAACGCACCTCCGACTGATCAAGTTTCATATGTTAACCTGGAGATACACTCTGAAGTAATATTCATATCACGTTGACTGGCTTCTTTCACATTCTGATTTAGGATCTTGCAGCATTTAGTTTATTTGGGATGTATAAAATATTGTAGATTGTAGATTTAGAAGAAGACAGCGACGCTGCCTGAAACATTTTATAAACAAAATTATTATGTGCAGTTGTGAGGAACGTTGACAGCTTTAAGATCAAAATGTTAAATGCTTACATTTAAATAATTAATCTATAAACTTTCCACTTTTTCTAGTTTTTGATTATGATTTCTGGTAGCATTTTTTACCAAGTAAAAATGAATTGCTTTATCAGCTTTAATTAGGTGTATTTTTATTAAAGATCTCAGGAAAATGATCTCAATAAATTTAGTTCAATGATGTGTATATTATGGGTTATACAAGACCACAGACTGTACATTCATCAGTGAAAACTACATCAACAGTTTTCAGATTTAGAACAGTGAGGTACAAAAGCCAGAGACTTCACTGTGTGAGAGTTAGACACTGACATTTGTTTTCATGAGCACCACAGATCTAAATCCAAGACCTGGAGATGATTCAAATTCAAATTCAAACCTAACTAATTTTTCTGCCTTTGTTTTTCTTTTTTACCGAGAACTACATGTGCCATCTTAATTTCATCTACATTTTGTCACTCGTAGCACAAAAAAAAAAAACCTCCAACAAACTTCAACTATTTATGAAGAGTTATATGAAACAATGATCAGATAATAAACAGCCGAAAGCCCATGAGCACAAGCAAGTGTGCACTTTATTTGAGGGATTTAAAAGAGAAACACCAGATCAGACACCAAAGTATTCAGTCAGAGGGAAAAGTTGCTGCCTCAGGGGAGAAACTGGGGAGGGGGAGGGGTCAGGTAAGGTCAGCTATTTAGAGACATTGCAGAAAAGGCACTTTTACACATTCAGCAACCACACTGACAGGCTCACTAAAGTCAAAAATGATTTAACAGTGAAAAAAGTGTGTTCCTCTAACCCACCATCAACAGGAGACCATGTAAACAGGCTGGTTTCTCTGTACAACACCAGCCAGGTATTAGGTTGAGGATGAGCTTGAGGATGCAAACATAATGTTGAGTCATTTCACGGATGATCTCACAGACAGATGAATCTGAAAAGCTCCTGCAGCACCACTCTGTGGCTCGTATGGGAGGGTTCTTTGGAGTACACTCAGGGAGCCAGTAGGTGGTGCCATAGGAGACAACATAAATGGGATATTGGTGATAAGTTAGTAGAAAACAATCTCTAATTTCAGTTTAATTTATGGAGACGCAATGCAATATTTCTAAAATCAAGATGAAGATCTCTTAGACAAAGAATCAGACCAGTGAATAGTAATGTCACTTTTACAGCTGTTTTTAGCCTTAATCCTGTTACTATACTGTGTTGAACACTGGTGAGAGGATCAAGCTACATTTACTCACATTACTGTAACACAAGTAGTTTTAAAGAACATGTACTTTTTGGAGCAATTTTAACAGTCAGTATTTAAGTTCTATTTTTGCCTTTGATATATATATTATATTATTCAAATTTTGAGAATGCAACAAATGAAAAGAGTCACGTTAAATCTGCTGCTGACTCGATGCACCACCTGATGACCAGGTACAGTAAAGCAAAATCAAACACACCTGCCAGGTGCATGCTGGGTCTGGCTTAACAGTAAATGCTACGAACTGTGGTCCCTTCGGCTGGAAGTAGAGCAGCTTATGGACGACATCACGGTGCACAGAGCGAAATTCAAGTGTGCGTGCAACAGATGACTAATGGTCGTCAGTCACTTTACAGAGTAGAGCATCAACTACTGCGTTGCCAAGCAACAATTTGTCTGCTCCAATGTGTAGTATGTTGTTTGGTCATTTGATTTTAGTTGCTTAATACTGATACATGAAGTCTATGGACTATTAATTATCAGTTATATGCACATGCTACAAAGTGCCTAATGAATTGATAGGTGGTTTTCAGTTCTCACCTGGGAATGCAGACAATATATCGCTCACCCTAAGATTTTTTTTGATTAAAACATTACTACTATTTAACATTTTTAACTCTTTCTTTACCCAAAGTAATACAGTAGCATTTATTCAGAATACATTGTAAGTAACTTACTTTTTTAATTTTTCTATTTACTTTTATCAAATAAAAGTTATTTTATATTAGTGTAATTTCCCAGTACTCTTTCCACCCTTGGTGTTGCTACGTATCAAGGAGCAAGTCAAAGAACATCAGGGGAAGCAAAGGCATTAACTGTGTTTCCACCACATCCTGGGTTTAAAGTAACAGGAATGAAGGAAAAGGTTGGAATTTTTGACTACTACCATTCAGGACCCTCAGAGTGAATATGTCTAAAAACAAATAAATACATTTAAAAAATAACCTTCAGTTTCAAGCTCAACATTCACAAAGGAGCTACTGCAGATGTAACATTGAAAACAAAAGTCTTTTCCATTTGGGGTTACTTGAACTAATGTGCTGTGCAATTCCAGTGGAAGATTCAAACTCCACAAGCAAACAGTTACAAATCTGATTCCATGTTCTCGTCTTACAGAACTAACTCTGTTTGGAAAACCAGAGCAGTCACGTCTTACATTCACTAAGCTGATTGTTCGCAGCCCCTCATCTCTTTGTCTGCTCTTCATGTGCTTCCATATCAGTTCTGTTTTTAATATTGTGTGTAGGTGTGGCTGAGTGGCAGACGGTAAATCGTGGCACACGTTACTCAGTTCTCCTACCTCACTCGTCAAACATTATATAAATCATTTCAAGTACAATGCTGCCATGGGAGAAAGGCAGCCCCCGTCCAAAGGCAACTGAGCCTGGGTTTCTCTGTAGCTACACCCAGACTCAGTCTTAAGGAAGGGTGAGGACTGTGCCATGCCTTTTGGGGGTTTTTTGGTCAGTAAAACATTGACACATTTATCATCTGAAACACTCACATTAGATTTAAACCAACAAAAAGTACAAATATAGAGATTTGCCACGTGCAGCCCAACAAGACCACAAGGTCATTAGCAGCTTCTGACTTCTCTGTAAAACGTCAGAAAGAACATGGCCTGAAGGGACTGCACAGAGAGGAAAAATAAGCAGGTTTATATCACTCCATCTAATTTGTGCAAATTTTCAAAAACAGACAGGATGTGTGCTGTACGGGAAACAGGGCTGATGCAACACTAAATGGCTATAACTCAACGCAGATAGGTGAGACTGGAAATTACATTTAAAGAGAAAGCAGCAGAGGACACCAAGCTCTGATTGCTTCTGCACCTGAACTGCAATGAGAGAAACTTTTGAATCTGTGGGATACTGGAAATGTTTCCATTACTGGCATGTATGACCACGGTCCTGTTGGAAATCAACAATAAATACAGTTTTAATATAATTGTCAATTGTACCAGACACTTAACCCTGCATAAAGTACGAGGTGAGCCGCGAGAGCGAAGATAATAAAAGCTGGCACCACTGCTCAAATCTGAATGCACCAATTCTCCAACACTGCTCAGTTGAATATTTTGGCAACTGAAATACATATGTTGTCTCTTCAAGGATGTGTACACGACCAACAGGTGGGAAGAGGGCATGTTTTCATGATGTAGAGGCTGTGGTGATGTGGCTGTGCGTGCAAGGAGGAAGGGGTGAGAAGGGGTGAGAAGAGGAGGAGGAAGGAGGAGGCGAAAGGAGGAGGCGAAAGGAGGGACGAAGACGAACACAGGTTTATCTGTAATACACCTAAGGCCTGCTGGGAGATCAGAGGAGGGGTTCAGAATTTCAGCTTCTTGGGCACCTCCCACGAAAAGACGTCCCGACCAAAGTGGCCATAAGCTGCAGTGCCCTGGTAGATGGGCTTCTTTAGGTCAAGCTCCCTGTGACAGAAAAAATAAAAACATTTTATAAAAACTGTAGATATTTGTTAAATGTGTACAGCGAGGACATACGTTGCATGTTTGTTAGAAAGAAAACCACTCAGAAATAAGACACCATACCTCACGATAACCCCTGGACGGAGGTCAAAATTTTTATTGACGATGTCCAACAGCTCCCTCTCACTCTTCTGGGATGTCCCATAATGGAAGATGGAGACAGAGAGGGGATGGGCAATTCCAATTGCATAGGAGACCTAAAACAGATGTCAATTATGCACATAAAAATGTGTTTATCTAAAACAAGAGAGAGGGTGGAGAGACCGGAAATCATTTAGTATATATGATATATTTTAATATTTAAAATGTCAGTTTTTCAATTTGTATACTGATGAACAAGTACTCACATGAATTGAGAAAAAGCAATGTAAAATGGTCACGGATAAATCCGCCTAGTCAATATATAGATATGAGAGTTTAATATGAGACACAAATATGTCAGTACAGAAAGGATAAGCCAAAGATGTGTTTCATTTAGAAACTATGTCTACATGTTCTGACACTAAAATGTTCTTCCTTGCTAATATCTTAAGAGATCTTTATCAAAAATTTTATTTGTTTATAGAGAGAGAGGAAAGAGGAGAGAGAAAGAGAGAGGGATAAACCAGCTGATTATTTTGCCTTTGGATTTATTTAAGCTGTCACATATCATGAACAAACATCTGACTCAAAGATCTTTTATGACTTACACTGTGAACAGAAGACGCACAATCCAAACAAACACTCACCTGAACCAGCACACGCTTGCAGAGCCCAGCTTTTACCAGAGATTTGGCCACCCAGCGGGCGGCATAGGCTGCGGAGCGGTCTACCTTTGTGTAGTCTTTCCCAGAGAAAGCTCCGCCCCCATGAGCTCCCCAACCCCCGTAAGTATCGACTATGATCTTACGTCCAGTCAGACCGGCATCACCCTGTGGGGAGGAACAGGCACATTATACATACAGTGGATAATTTGAGAGAACCCTCTGACAATTCCTTTAAAGTATCTGTTAAACAAATTAAAGATTTGAAAAGAAGCTCAAGTCTCACCTGAGGTCCACCAATGACAAAGCGGCCGCTGGGCTGCAGGTGGTATATGGTGTTTTCATCGAGGTAACCAGTGGGAATCACATCTTTCACCACCTGCTCCTTCAGACAATGACGCATGTGATCCAAACTGATGCCTTCATCGTGCTGCACAGACACCACAACAGTGTGGACACGCAGCGGCACCATGGCACCTCGATCCTGCCTGTACTGAACGGTCACCTGATGGAGACAAACATTAAAAACATGTTAAATAAATATTAAAAAAGGAAAATTAACTGTTCTTCTTTAGATCCGTTTCAGTTCCCATCATGAAAACAAAGACATAACTTTGGTTTGTGGTCTACAAGTTGGAGAAAAAAGCTGTCTGAAGACATGCTGGTGGGCTGTTCGGAAGTTGAGTCTAACCTGAGTTTTGGAATCAGGCCGGAGCCACGGTAGTGTTCCATTTCGGCGCAATTCAGCCATCTTGGCATTGAGCTTGTGGGCCAGGATGATAGTGAGGGGCATACACTCCTCAGTTTCATCAGTAGCATATCCAAACATCAGACCCTGTCAGAGGTGTAGACACAAACCCCAGCATTAATACAGATACAAACTTTACATCACCAACACATCTCTGCTCCAGTCATCTTTGGATCAAAGCCAGAACATAAATGTAAGAACAGTCCAACCTGGTCACCGGCTCCTACGTCCTCTTCATTTCGGTCCAGGTGAACACCCTGAGCGATGTCCGGGGACTGCTGCTCCAGAGCCACCAGCACATTGCAGGTCTTATAGTCGAAGCCTGTCGGACAAAACAACTACGTTTCAAGGCTATTTCACACCTCAGTCCTCAACGCTGTGCTTCCTTTAAATGGGGTTGGGTTATGTTCACTGAGTTAACATATGATGATGGAGACAGTGAAACATTCTAATTGTTTGAGGGGGGGTGTACTTGTTCACCAACCTCAGAAAGTAACTTTAATGGAAGCATAAAAAAAATGACCAGAACACGACTACTAATAAATAATAAGCAATAAATATACTTCCCATGTGAAAGAAGATACTGGAATTATAGTGCGTCTGTGCATTTGTGCATAGGGCAGGGTGTGGATCACAGTGATGACATTGTGATGACAGTATGCACCTTAATTTAAAAAACACAATTTGTTTCATGACTTGTGAACACACTGTACTGAAATGTGTGACTGGATTAGTCAAATGTATGTTAACTTCATGTAGAGGGATTGGTATTAAACCAGGTAACAAACAGCCCTGTAGCTAAATTATTGAAGACTGATGACTAAAAGTAACAATTAACCAGCTGATTGTTAAGGGTGCGTTAATAAATCTAATCTGAAATGGTCAGAGCAACATACAGAAATTTACAGTTTCAGTGATGTTAAGTACTTGATCAATGAGCAGTATCAGTAAGAGTAGTGTTAAAATCTTGATAACACCCATCCCTTAGAAATGTGGTGTCAGCCAAGGCGGCTTCATTAAAGCAGTTTAAGCTGAAAGGTAAGACTGCAAATCTGCAGGACAGGACATCACCCGGGAAAAATACGAAGCTTTTGCTGAACATGGAGGCTAACTGCATGAATGTCAACCTGAACTAAACTCACAACCAACAACTTTCATCACGGTACCTTTGGAGGAGTCATCATAGCCAATGTCCTTGATTGTCTCTCTGACAATCTTCTGATAATCAACGGTGGCTCTGGAGGTGATCTCCCCGGCAAGCAGTATCATCCCCGTCTTAGCAACAGTCTCTGAGGACACAATGACGTGTAGTGTGAGGGGTGAGAGGGGGGTTTAATATAATAGATCACTGAAAATACAGAGGTGACAGGGAACAGACAACACTGACTGGCACACTGAAGCAGCCTTAATCCTGTATTTTAAATAATTTTACATCAACGTATGTTATGACATTTATTTTCAAGATTCATTCATTAATTTGATGCAGAAAACAGTCTCATTTTTGTGAACCTGTAACTGTTAAGTATTAAGTGTTGCAGCTTTAAGGCATGAACCCCCCTTTTGAATGATGCATCAGATGAATCTGTGGCAGACAGCAATCTGTCCAGCAGATTCAAGTACGTGTTGTGATGCATGTTGTCAAATCTGGCATACAACAGCTCACCTTTGGTGCAGACATGACGATGAAACATCTTTGCATGGAAGTGATCAGATACAGTACATGGAGGTTTGAGTCCTGCTGCAGCTGACCTAGCCCTTCAATGCTTATCTTCCCTCTCTCTCTCCCCCTTCCATACATTGAAATTGCTTAAAAAACTGACAAGATTCCCTAAAGATAACCTCCTTCTGAGGAAACTAAGTTGCTCACCTTCATGCACTCACTCCTTAGTTTCTGACATGTCTATAAATGTATGCCAAGGTTAAGGTAAAGCTTTACCAAGAGATATAGTATCTTATATGCATGTAATTATGGCAACCTCACCTTTATTTTGCATATGCACATTTCAACAACAAACAATCAGTAACGGACACACTAACCACATGCTACTTTGGCATCAGGGTCTTGTGAGAGGTGTGCATCCAACACAGCATCACTGATCTGGTCACAAATCTTATCTGTGGAGTAGACATGAGAGAATGTTTCAGAAACCTTCAAAACACACATAAAAACACTTCATGACAATACTTATAGTTCAATGCATGGAAAAAATATACACAGTAGTTGAGGACTCATTGAACAAGTTCACCCCATTCAAAGTAATTTGAAGAAAATCAACAGCATTCTTCGAAAATGATTGGTTAAAATAAAAACTGCCTGTTTTACTGGATCTACCCAAACACAAATAAATATAAATATATTTCTACTGTTAAACTTAACATGCTCTTGTATTATAAAATGAATTTGTCAGATCTTTCAAATAATGAAGGAAGATTCTGATAACTTTTAACATCCAGGTTTAGGGCCTCAGGTCTTGAACACGTTACTGCCTCGCTCATCCCTTAGGGACTGGAGACTTGACTTCCCTTTAATATTCTCTGTGAGTGAGCCCCAACACCATTCCAGACTTGTTTGGCAGCATTCTAAGGAGGACTTTCACCATTCACATGAGTTCCAAATATTTTACCTGCCTCATAAGAAAAGACAACCTTTAAAGAATGTTAATAGTAGCGAACACTGCAGGTAGTTCTACTGTCCTGAGCCTATAAAGTTTGTGGATGTGATGACTTTACACACACAGCCGAGCAGCAGCCCCTGCAGTACCTATATTTAGGTAGAAGTAATCCTATTATCCGTTTCATTAGAACTGCCCCCACTACCTGAGTGCAATTCTGAAAACTGCGGCGCACTCGATGAAAACCGGCTGAATAGATCTGCAATTAATATGCATGATTAATGAATGCTTGTCACAAACACCAAACTACAATGAACAGTCTAATGCAACAGCCGTGCAATAAGTCCAACCTTCATGGCAGTTTATGGGGGTGACACTGTTTAGTTAAGAAGCTCTTAATGGTCAGTGTTGGGGATGGAAGGTGTTAACATATAGGTGTTAACATATAGTTTATTACCCTCACTGACAAACTGCCTTCAAAATACAGATAAACTAAACAGCTGCTGCTTAGATTGAACAGGAACAGCTTTGTGAAAGTAGGATTTATTGCAGGGCTGTTGTTTTAGACGGCATTAGTATAATTAATTTGTACCTTATTAGAATTACACTCCGGGGACAAGTAAAGTTATTTTGAATGATGGACTATCATATGAGAGTTTATTAGATATGAATTGAAGTCATTATCTTTTCTTTTGAATGATATCAGTGTATTTTTATGCATTTTACTATAATGTTTCCTGTCTTGCTTGTTTTTATTCTTTTTAATTTAATTTAAATGTTCAATTGCTTTGGTTTTTCTTTAGAGAAATATCTTCACTTTAAATATGTTCACCTCACATGTTTAGTCATATCATCCATTTGTTGTGTATCTTAGTGTTTTTTAGTCTTTTGAAATGTCATATATAAATAAACTTGGTTTGACTAATTCTTCACTTATAAACACCGAACTGCTTTTAATGTGTGATCGTCATGCAATTTAATATTTTCTTAAATCCTTGCTTTTCAGTTTAGACCTGTTTAAAACAGTCCCAGCCGAGGACTAAGCGTGACGCAGCCTTTTCTGTCAGGGCTCCCACAGAAAAAACCTCTCAGGGACATTTCCTTATCCTATGTCAAATCTCTCTTAGAGACAATTTGATAAGTGTGCTTTCTCCTAGTTCTGACTGTACCATCTGTTTTTTGTTTTCCATCGTCTAATGTAATATTTCATCTTGTTTTGACTTTTTCCTCCTCTGCAACTTTTCTTACTTCTGTACTCTTACTTCTGAAATGCTGTGTGACCTTCAAATTGCTTTTAAATGTTTTCTGGTGTTTGCCTTTTAACTGTTTCCTATTGTTTGCATTCAAATGTCAAACTTGTGAATCACCTTTAAAACTGTGTTTTGAAAGGTGGTATTTCAGTAAAATGAATTATCACTATCATCATTACTATTATAGTGTCTTTGAGCATTGTGAAAAGTGCTATAGAAAAAAGATTAATAATAGATAAAATAATACATAATAAACAGTATGCAGTACATTATTATTAGTGTCTTTGAGCATTGTTAAAAGTGCTATAAAAACGATTAATAATAAATAAAATAATATATAATAAACATTATACAGTAGATTATTATTATTAAATCATAAAAAGCCACAGAGGTCTTGTATTAGCCATGTTCCTGGGTCTAATGGTTCCTAAGGTGTAAATCCATGTGGCTAGCTTACTTGTGGAGCCACATGATTGGCAGGCGCTAACGGGGGGGTTAGCTTAAACAGCTAGCCGCCGTGTTGTTAACTCTGAAAATAACCTAAAACCCTGAGTTCCCCTCCTGGTGTTGCAGCTCCGTTGTTCTCCGGGCTGTGGCGTGTTGCCCGTGTCACTTTACACGGCGTGTGGAGGCTGCACAAAGTGTGGAACCAGAGCTACAGGGGAGGATGACCGGGCTCCTCGGTGACCGGCTGACTGACAACACGCTAACAGCGACATGCCACACGACCTTGTTTGAAGCTAGCAGGATGCTACCAGGCTAATTAGAGCTAAGAGTCAGACAACTCACCGGGGTGTCCTTCTCCCACCGACTCGGAGGTGAAGAGGAAACAGTCTTCATCAATGAACGAGTCGCCGTGGAAGCCGTTCAGGTTGTCGTTCATTTTAGTGGGTGAACACACTGTGAGCTAACCAGCTAGCAGCTCACACACACATACACACCCACACACACAAACACGGACCTGCTGCTTCAGATCAGGTTGTTTCAGCCTTTTGTACCAATCTCCTCCTCTCACACACACACACACACACACACACACACACACTGGTCAGCCTCTGCTCCGGTGTGAAATATTGAGAACTGAACTCCTCTTCTCCTCTTCTCCTGTTCTGGGACTTTATGGAGCCTTCAAGTCATTTATCTGCAGCCAATGTTGATGTTGAGCTGAGACCACGTGGTGCGAGGGCGTGAGTGTGTGGAGAGAAACTGTGCACGAGGTGAAGCAGGAGAAAACACTGAGGCGATCAGATGTTGAGAATAAAGTCAAACAATATCAAATATATTCCTCAGATGTTGCATTTTGAGAATGACGTCAAAATGTTGAGAATAAAGTCAAACAGGTTTTTTTCTTGTTTCAAAAATGAAAATAAAATAAAACTAAATCAGATTAATTTAATTTTACATTCCAACAATAAACTGAGAAGAAAGTCATTTAATTAAAGAGTTTAAAAATTGCATTTCTAGAATTAGGTCAGAATATATTCAATATAATCTGTTAAATTTTAATTTCAAGGGTAAAGGCGAAATGTTGAGAGTGGAGTCAAAGTATTATTTTTTTTTGAAATTTCAAGATGTATTGAGCCTTAAAGGACTGAAACTGCGCAAATATCTAACTTTGAGTCAATTTCAGACCTGGAAAGTCTACACACTACTGGCACACCAGACTGGAGGGTCGCTGCTTCAAGTCCATGGACTGACAAAAACACATACCTGGACCAGACCTGCTAGAGTCCAAGAGGACAGATGGACTCCCCCTTTCCCACTGTCTAAGTGCCCCTGTGCCATGCACCTTACTCCCCCAACATCTGCTCCCCAGGCGTGTGTATTGTGTTCCTTGTGTGCTGTGTTCACACAAATGGGTTGTTGCATGAAGTGTCAGTGTGCATGATTGTGGGATAATAAAGAAATCTTAATCTATATTACTTCAGTCACCTGAACAGGTTTATGAGTACGTCATCAGGGGTAAATATTGTCTAGTACCAACTTATGCAAAGATTTTGGCCTGAAGGAAAGTATTAAGCATATCACAAAAAAGTAAACTGAAAAACAAATTATAAGAATTTCCTCTTGTCTTGTTTCTGCTCGGAACAAAACCTAATTTAAGAATCACAAGGAATATCATCATATCCAGTCACTGTATCATAAAAATTAAGCTGTCCTCTGTTCAGTGTTAAAGTCAGTGGCAGTTGTGGATCTGCAATGATGGTTCGGGCTTGACCTCAACTTTCTGCAGCCAATATGCGATTTTAAAATGACTTTCTGAAATAGTGAACACAAAACATGAGCTCTGGCTACTTTACTTTATTGTCAGCATCAGGTGCCTTAGTTGCCTGCCCATCTGATTAAACCTAATACTCAGGGGAATGTGCCGCTTGTTTCACCCTCTCCAGCGTCTCTCTTTGGTTTTAGATGTGCTTGCTAATCCAAAAGAGATTATCTTGATCACAAACATCAGGAGGAACCATAAGCTGTGTACAATCGTCTCTGTGAAAACCTCAAGAGCTTCTTTGTCTATATTAATTGGATGTGAACGGACATTTTGTTTTATTGATTCTATTTGAAAATTACTGGATCTTTTTCTTGGTATTGTCATTATTAAACTTTATCAGCATATAAATTATTTCCTTTTTTTTTGTTCTGTATCAAAGCTAGTTTTTGACCACACTGACCTTTGCAGTGCAACATGTTGGTTATACACATGTGCAGAGAGAGAGAACAAAATCCGAATTATGTCACAATTCACAAGTACAGTAATTGTTTTTGTTCTAATGTGCCCTCCTCACCTCTGCACAAACAGATAGAACTTTTTTGTGTTTTCATTTGACCACTTGTTCCGTTTTTTTTTTATTTGCACACTCACACAGATAAATAACAGTGTTTTCCTAAGCAAACAAACCACATTGGTCTAAACATCCACTCACTGAGCTCTATAGAACAGGGGCTGTATTCACAAAGCTGCTAAGAATAAGAGCATTGATGCAGGATTATTGTTGAAGTCACATGAACACTTCAGGATGATTGAGTTTGGAAAAAATGCTCTATCTCTATTCATGACACATCAGATTCATTTTATGAATACAGACCGAAAACTATAGAGTTAAAATGTTTAAACCATCATTTGGTCCAAAATGCATATTTCACATATTTAAGTCTTAACACATAGTCCTACACAAACCCACAGACACACAAACACACACTCTCTCCCTCCACTGTGAAATATGATACTGTCAGTGTTTCTGGTCCGGAGTTGTCATTTCGACGGAAGCTCCATATTGCCGTTGATAATAACTGCTCACATCCACCACAGGTTTACTCTGGTTTCACATTCAATATGTTTGTTTACGTATGATATAGCTTATGAGTCTATAAAAGCACTTGTCGTCGCTGGGAGTCTGGGCGCAGCTTCGAGTCCCAGATACACACAGTGTATGAGATGATGGTCGATTCAGAGACAGAACTGCAGAGCTACAATGTGGAATGTTTGCAAACTACGTTAGGAGTCATTGACTGTGCTGCTTCTACGAGCACAGAGACAGTGTGGGGTCGGATCAAATTGATGCTTATTTCTACGCAGTGTCCGTTTCCCCGGCCTTCCCGATGTGCTTGACCCCTGAGGGGCTAACCTGAGCTGGTCTGTGTTCACCTAAGATGGCAGCGATGAGGGCCTCTGGTGCAGTCACTCCACTACCTGGAGACACAGGACTGCGAGGACTGAGCGGGCTGATGGACGGAGACTGCACTGTGTTGGGGGACACCAGCCGTTCCTTCTTAGCAGCAGAGCAGGGTGAGCGGCTTGGCGTCTGTCCTTCTTTGGAGCGAGGGCAGAGGCTGAGGCCCTGCAAGGAGGGGAGGGGGTTGGAGGAGAGAGTGGGAACCGCCGGGCTGCGGCTACGCCGGTGGCGATGATGGCTTTTGCCTGTTTTAGGACTCGGGCTGCGTGAGTTAGGAGCCAGCAAGACAAGGGTGCTGTCATCCTCTGAGCTGACATCAGAGCTGTCGGAGCGATGCATGGTGGGACTGTGGACTGGTATCTTGATCTGCAGAGGATGGAGGATTCAAGAGAAGTGAACTTGATACGCAGGAGTGCTAAAGGAAGCTATGACCAGAAGTATGTGGACACACTCCATCTCCTTTGCTTAAGTAAATAAAGACATCACACAATGTAGAAATACAAGCTTAAGTCAACCTTCAAAGTATTACTTAAATAAATGTGTCAACAAAGTGTACTATCAAAAATAAAACTACCCCTGTGCAGCAGAATGTCCCATTGTCATATTTTTGTATTATTGGCATATACATTATTATTGGCATTGTACTGAACTACAACATTTGAGGAAATGGACTTCCTGATGTGATGTTTTTCCACCACAGATTAAGGGAAATCCTATGATACAGCACAACAACCTGCCTCAAACATTGTGGCATAAGTATGGGGAATGTTTTTCATTTAGAAGTGAAGTTTTTGTTTTCTCAGTTGATGTGGAAGAACCTGACTAGGCTGCACAGAGTCCTGATCTTATCTCCATCAGTGGTTAAACTTGCTTCTGTGTCTCTGCAGCTATCGTGAAAATAAGCAAGACTGATCTTACCTGAACGGGTGTTGACAATCCAACGATACTGTTCATATTATTGCTGTAGTAACCCAGGAGGTATTCACAATCGTCTCTGGGCAAATCTTCCTCTGAAAACGTCACCTGGAGAGAAAGAGAGAGGCAAAGAGTGAAAGAAAGAAATCAGCGTGAGTTCAGCTGCGGCACAAAATACATCAGAGAGTTTCAGTATGTGACAAACCTGTGATGCGTGCTCTCCCTTGGCCCACACGTAGGCCTGGTAGTCTTTGTGATGTCTGAATCCGGCCTGTGCAGCGAGAAATGAAGAACGTAACTGTAACATAATAAAGATCTTTGCATTTGTGAATTTGGGTTATAGTGAATGAAGGATTACCTTATATATTGCTACCCAGTCCCATGAGCTGCGCTGATAAGTTGATGCAGAAGTGAATCTGACCGTGGCATCGGAGACTTTACACCACTCCTTACTGACCTGCAGCTCCACCAGGGGCAGGGCCACCTTGAATGGGAACTGGAAAAAAAACAGGACGTGGCATAAAACAGAGGAATAAACTCTGAAGAAGCATCAAAATGTACAAAGAGAAGATGTAACTGAGATAGTTTTCTGCCGTATATGTTAAGTGTCTCACATGAAGGGAGAACAGGGCAGAAACAGGCTTGTGGTCGCTGATGGTGTAGCCCATGTGACTTCGGTAGGTGTGCTGCGTCACTTTAGTTGCCCCACCGAGCCACGAGGTCAGACCCCGCTGTAGTGCTGCATTGTGGGAAGGGACCGGGGAGCCGGTGCGTCGGAGGCGCCAGAGGATGCGATCCGTCCAGGCAGGTTTCCTCTTCTTAGCACTGACACAAATGGAAACAAGAGAGACGGAACAGTTTATTAGGCCTCACTTTAAAAAATAAACGTGGTTATAACATTTGCGAAGGAGGTGACAAACCTGGTGTCGTACGTATGAGTGCCCACATCAAACTTATAAGTCGGTGGGAATTTGAGTGGCCCCTCCATGAAGCCCTCCAGGATGGACTCGGTGTTTTTAGCCATGTTGAGCTGTGGAGTTGACAAATGACAGGAAAGTTAAATATGTGCTACAGCGGCGCCATCTGTTGGTGGAGGTGTGCAAGACAAACAGGTGGCATGAAAAGCCTTCCAGAACAGCCCCCTCTCAGAACAAGGTGGATGTTTCCTCACCTGATCCCGCTCCCACAGAAGAGGCAGCTTGTTGCTATCGATGGCACATTTCACCACATGGATGTCGTAGTCTTCAATGCGGAAATTTAGATCTCCAAACCAAAACACAACACTGGAAAAATACACAAACCAAAAGTCATTGCATTTAACTTACTCAAGATGCATAAACAAACAAATAGGGAGACTTATAACCCTTATTATCATATATAACCTCCTAAAATTCATTTATTCTCTGATGTTATCAGTTTTTGCATAGTTCTGTTAATTAACACACAGTGAATGACTGTTGGACATGTGTTTGTAATTAAGCTGACTAATGGTGTGCACTTTCTATGGGTGGTAAAAGATTATGTAACATTTCGTCACCCACTCGTGGTCCAGTACACCAGTGGCAGTGCCGCCTTCAAACTGCTGCTGCTGCAGGATGCTCTCAAAGTCCTCCATCCGCTGCTCCAGGTTCCTCATGTGAGCTGGCAGGTGACAGTTGAGGAAGCACAGCGGGTGTCCGAACACCGTCATCCTCACACTGACACCCCCTTTATTCCCCTTAGAGCGAGAGAAGAGACAAAAATAGATCCTGTCTTCATTTACATTTAAACACTGATCGCATGTATCATCCAGATCTGTGTTCGGGTACAAGGTCGTGTTTTTATGTTTTGCTGCCGCGGAGTCAAAGAACCAGAAAGCCAGACAGCCCGCTGCTGCACTGCCCTCAAAGAGAAGGAGACTGCACCAGCAGCAGCCAGGGGTGATGCTGACATCAACACGCACAGGAAGGTCACACACTGACATATGCACCCACACGTGCATGCGTCTGCCAGCAGGAGGGAGCACGCACGCCACCTTTCAACACCCCATCCCTCCCGAAGCCCCCTGACTCAACCCACCACACATGTTGCAATAAATCTCTGAGCAGCTCTCTTCGATGCGCAGCACGTACCCAGTATCCACCGAGTCCTGTGCGTGTACTCTCTGTCTGCACGCCTCTGAGGAATGGAAGATGGCAGAATTTAGAGAAAACCAGCAGCAGCACGCCCTGCATTCGCTGGGACGCCACCTAACAGATGGGAGGGATGAGAATAACAAACAAATAAGCTAAACTTTAGATTTCATGACACAACAAGGGGTATGAGTAAAAGAGATCTAAGGTATGAGACATGAGCAGCAACATTTTGAACTTTTACCGACCAGAACGTATCCAAAAGGGCTGAGTGTGTCCATGCACAGCTCGCTCCACTGGTCCGAAAAAAGAGCATCCTTCAGCCTCTTGTTGATCATGGAGTTCACCTCCTGGAGTCTGGACCGTGCCAGGAACAAGAGTCATGTCACAAAGTGAAGATGAGCGAAAAGGACAGTGATGTGTAAAGGATCAAAATGAACACAGATGACTGAGTGGGCACCGTGTCCCTGGCACCGCTGAGCCTGCTGGGAACACTTGCTTACCCGATGATAAACATGTCGACGTTTCCGTCTGAAACATTTGGTCCGAACAGAGAGGTGATATCATCTGGCGGGACAGCTGAGCCCACGTTCCATGTGACGATGTACACCCTGTCAGGACATGGGGGGAAATTGCTGCATTAGATTTAAATTGTGTATAGTGTGAGAGAGGACATAATCTGTTCCGTAATCCTCAGGGATGAAGCTTTCAGCAGTGTCTGTATATAGAAAAAAAAGATAAGCACAATTAAGCACCTCTCTGTACCTCGATGATGACTAAGTATTTCACGTGTGTGTGTGTGTGTGTGTGTGTGTGTGTGTGTGTGTGTGTGTGTGTGTGTGTGCATGGGTGAGAGAAATAGATGGATCTAACGCTCCAATAAAACTGAACAACCAGCCACACTATTATATTACATATCAGGCCTGTAGCCTTTTAGCTGTCCATCTTCTCTTTTATTTTTAATTCAGGCAGCTGTTTGTTTTCAATCATCATTAACAACCTATGATATACAATTAATTTCCATCCATCTCCTCAGACATCATGAACACGTACAGCTAAAAAAACTACAAACATTAAAAACAGCAGCATTTTTATGTCAGAAAAGAGGAAATTCATATTTTATTTTTAAATGTACCTTGTTTTTTGCTTTCATACAAAAAAAAAACTAAAATATTGGAGAATTTTCAACATTCGATCAAGTGCGATTTTCAATCTGCAATTGCAGATGACAAGGATCTATGGATCATTTTTTATAGCTGTTTCAAACTTGATGTTGAAACCAAAGAAAAGTAATAGTTTAGATTATACACTTTGGATGTTAAGTATTTGATATTTGTAGTCAGTGGGCAAACATAACCACTATGATCTATATAACCCTAAGATGTATGTGATGAGAAATGTGTAACAGCCGGACGAGCAGAGGTTGTTGCCATCCGAAGACCTTTTTTGAACATTTTCACCTTCGTATAAACACAGGTCTATGAATTTAAGAGGTTTTTACAAGCTGACATTGTTTATGGCTGAGGAACAACAGGAGTATAAGCCCCCGGGAAGGCTGCCAACTAAATGTGGCCGTGTCTCTCTGTCAGATTCATAAAGCTCTTATTGAAATGTGCAGCCTTGCTTCATGTGTCACGGTCTGGCTCAGCTTCTGTAGCTGTGCTCACACAAACAGGGATCGGCACAGTCAGAGGTAAAAGCACAGACTCATTTAATCTGACAGAAGCTACAGTGGGTCTGATAAAGTATTTTAATAAAGCTGTTAATATTTGTCTCACCTGAAGTCATTGTTCTCTCCTGCCGGCTTCTCCGGCTGCACTTGGCTCTGTGTTGGGCCCCCGGGTGAAGGGCTCCTCTGCGACTGAACACTGAGGCCTGGTTTGAGACTGAGGCTGGCGGGTGGGTTCGGGCTGGGAGTGGGACTCAGGTAAGGCTGGTTGGTGTAAGACTGAGGACTATGGGGACTCTGAGGACTGTGGGGACTCTGAGGACTGTGGGGACTCTGAGGACTGTGGAGAGGAAGGGAGGACTCAGTCTGTGGCAGGACGTTGGCACACTGAGGTCCTGGGATGCAAACTGGGATCAAATCTATTTCCTTGGAGAGGTCAGCTGGGATCCTGGTCGGCTTCGGAGCAGGTTTAGTCCCGAGGGCGGTCGGTCTTGGCCGACTTATGCTCGTCAGCGTCGCTGTGCTTGTGTGGCCTGTCGGTTCTGTCACTTTCACGGGTGGAACCGGTGCCTGGACGGGGCTCAACCCAGACTTTGGTTTGTTGGGGAACTCTGGTGGGATGATGAGAGCTGGCTCCTGGATGGCAAGTTGTGGAGGTAAACCTGGACCGGCTGCAAGTAACGCACAGGGTCCAGGCTGCACTTTGACCCCACATGGGTCAGTGCTGGTTTGTTTCTGCGGCATGTGATCCATCGACCTGAAACATGAATTTTGTTTTAAAAAAACAGCACAACACAACGGATGCAACACTGCTTTGTGATTCTTAGGAATCTCTGATGATGTTCTCATGAGCAGGTGACAGGGCTGAGGAACTAAACCTTCATCCTGGGTTACATCAGTGGCTCAGCAGCTTTATTTACCCCCGACCCTTTCTACGAAGCAGGAGACAGGTTTGGTCATTTTGGAATGGAGTGTTTGATCTTGATACAGTTTGATCTCAGATCTCAAAAACAGGGGGATGCATGCGAGGGGACGAAAAGCTGCCGAAGACAGAGGACATCAGACAATGTCAGCAGATCCTGGATAGGTCACCAGATAGAGGATATGCCTGACATGACAGGAGGACATGGAGCCATTTTGTTTACCTTCCCTCCCACACAGAAATGAAACACCTCTTTTAAAGTATTCATGACATGCAAATGAAAAGCTCTTTGTGTCTGGAACATTGATCTGACCCCCATTCTGTTATTATCTGCAGAACAAAAGCAGGGATTGGTGATGATTCAAGTTTGGTAATAGATCTACTTTAGAAAGTGGGAACTTTCATTGATTAAATACCTGAGGACAAGTGGGCCTGTTTCATATTTTATAACCCAGTGCATGAGCCTGTGAGTCTGGATGACAGCTCCATCATATGAGTCTGGACTGAGCAGCATCCCAGTGAAAACACGAACAGGACAGAAGCTGTTGTGTCTCACAGACCTCGTGAAAACATTTCTTACCTTTCACGCGTTTTTCTTATTTCCAAGGTGAACCGCAAAGGTGATCTCACAAACGCACCGAGAGGGGAAGCATCAGTCTTCCTTCAATCAACGCGACAGGACGGTCACACACACACCGGGAGAGACAGAGAGAGAGAGAGAGAGAGAGAGAGAGGCGAGGGCAGGGTCGGTTGTTTACTGGTCCGGGGACACACCGGTCCGGTGACGGCCAGCAGGACGGATGGGACCCGTCGGTGCCGTGGACAGCGGTCGTCTCCGTCACGGTGCACGGACCCGCTTCTCCGCGCCGCTCCGCCGGGCTGTCAGGACAGGAGGAGGCGCTCGCTGGTGTCGGACTCCTGCATGTGGATGTTGGTTCCACAACACAACAGCTGATTATTCCTCATCCCTCTTATCGCGGATGGACGGAGCAGCGGTGCGCTTTTCTCTCAGCAGCATCCCGCCTGCACTTCCTGCACACCGGCACCGTACCCATAACCCACCGGGCGCGCTCACGGTGCACCCCCACCCCCCTCTCTCTCCCTCTCTCTCTCGCTCCTTCACACACACATGCACGTCTGTCTATAGTTGTGAGGACACTCGTTGGCATGATGCATTCCCAAGCCCCTTACCATCACAACTAAACCTAACCCTTACCCTAAACCCAAGGATCAGAGAAGTTGTCCTCACACTTTCAATTGTCCTCACAATGAAGGTATTGAACCTAAATTGGCTCTCGCAACTATAGAAAAACACACACATTTGTACTTCTATCTTATTGAGGACACTCATTATCATAATGCATTCCCTAACCCTTACCCTAATATTAACCTAATTCTAACCCATGTCCTCACTTTCCAAAAATGTCCTCACTCTGTAGGTTCTATATGCTTGACGTGGTCCTCACAAATACAGAAGTACAGGAACATGCACATGTTTGACTTGCATTCCCTAGGATACCATAACCAACCGAACTACATGACAAACCCTAATTCTAAAACCAAGTCTTAACTATCAAATAGCCCAATGATAAAGTGAGGACCCGTCAAAAAGTCCTCACTCTGTAGGATCTATGTGCTTAAAGTGGTCCTCACAAATACACAAGTACAGGAACACACACACGTCTGACCAGAATGAACTGATCATCTGTCCCATATCAGTGACGCACCATCTGGGATGCATGATGCATTCCCTAGCCCAATCTGGGATTGGTGTGTCACTGATGGGGAGAATTGATTAACATGGCCGTTAAATAAACTTCACTTTCCCTCATGAGGCGCAACAACAATCTAATGCAATCGATAAAACAACTACGCAATTAATGGTTTATTTGCATTTGTGCCAGTCATTTGTAAAATTACATTTTGCAGAGACTGTGTTGAAAGCATGTTCATTAAATGTAATTTTTGAAGCATCATGTTTATGCTAAATATTGTCCTGATTCCTGATGTGCCCTTGTGATGCAATGCACGACTGCAAGAGCAAATTTTCCACCTAAAAATTTTTGGCTTCTATTTAATATTAGCATTTCAGTGGCCCTACTCAATGTAATAATTAAAAGTCCTAAAAAGGTATTGAGCTGGTTTTGTTTCATAAGCCGTGCATATGTCCATGTGTCTACGTCTGGAGAAACTGGTGCAGGGATTTCATGACGGCTTCCTGTTGAAGGAGCATTCCAGCAAATAAAGTTGTGGGCCTCAGAAAAGTTTGCTTGTTAAACATCTCAACCCCCCTGATGACATCACAAGAGTCATTATCAGAACCTCAACAACAATAGACACAGAAAACTTCATCAAATGGAACAAACTGGAAAGTGGAATTTCAAAAAAACAATTCACTCATTGAAATGTTTATTCAGGCTGTGTTTATTCACCATGCTAGTGGAGTGCCCATATAAACATCCCATAATCACACACTGCACATTTAAACCATTCATACAGGTGTTGGTGGAAATGTTTCAAATAAAACACCATCTATTCCCTCTATTGTACTTTTCTAAATATATATTCTAAATTGTCAACTTATCCATCAACATAACGTTTGATATCTCAAGAAAAACAGCCTGATAATGGAATGGATGAGTATTAACTGTGTCTTTAATACTCACACATGTCAGTCCCTGTACAGCATCATCGAAAAATTTGTTCCCAGATTCTCCATGGCCTTGACTGGGATTAATGCAGATGTGTAATCTCAGTGGAATGTACTGATCCGTAGCACCAGCTGTCCACTGAGAGCACACAGACAACCATAAGTCCCTGCTGACACACACACACACACA